CTCGACAATGAAGCACATAAGCCACTAGTATGGAAGACGAGGAACATAGAAGCAAAAATAAGGAATCTGATGGGAGGCTCTGCATAACACAAGGTTGGAGTCAGGGTAAGCAAGCAGAACAGAGAGAGTGTAGGGGACAGCAAACAATTGCCAACCTTCTCTTGAACGCAGTATTCATATTTCCGGATAGGGCTTGTGCAAATAAATACTTCTGTGCTGAAAAGACATGGGCCATTTATTAGTCACTATATGAAAATAAACCATGGGGGCTAATTGCAAACCATTCTGTGTTCCGAATGGGCCTTACTTGGGCATTTGAATCATCTCCTGCATTGCTTCCATAGCTCCTGGAATGGGATCCAAACCCAGAAAGAAGCCTGGTGACTCGTACACACTGGCTACCTTCACCTGAAACCAGATGCATGGAATTACACTTCTAAACAGAGCTCACCTAGTTGCTTAATATTCAATCTACTATGAAGAAAATAGGAGAAGGCTCTCCTTCCCCACGAGAAGGGCTCAAGAACTGCTTTAATTTTCAAAACTGTATCCCATGTACGTGGTCAAGGAGTGCCTTCTGGAGCAAGGCACTGGGGCTGCCGTAGAAACCCTGGCTGAGCAGCAGAGGGGTTGAACTGAGCTGCAGGACCACCGCTGCTTCCACAGCCATTGCACGCATGCCAGCTGGGATGGGTTGGGCTGGCAAATCAAGCCACAGCAGCAGAGCTGGCTTAGGATCCAGCAGAGCCTGGGTTAACTCTATGAGCTGCTGGGGGGGTCCTGTCGGCAGTACATGCCCCCCACCTCTTTTAGCAGGTTGAAGGGAGTGTTCTGAGACACCTCTGCCCAATCCAACTCACCAACCCTGCACAAAGGAGGTTTGGATTGCAGCCTAAGACTGCTTTATTCCTGCAGGCTTTTTATTGGATAACGTTTCTGGCATGGTGAAGACTTGTTCCTAGGTATATTTCGCATTTCAATCTTTTTTCATGGTTGGGGGAATAATTGTTTATATAAACCGATTATTTAAAATGATATTTCTTGTACTGAGAAGCTTGGCTGAAAAGTGACTGGTTTCAGATAACTTTTTTGGGAAAGCCTCTCACTTTCCAAGCCTATTTAGCAGTGGAAAGAGAGTGTGCTGATCCTGTAAAGAAAAAGATATAATTGTTAATGCAAGTTGCACTGAGCCCTTTTTTTAAAAAGAAACCTAAAAAATACAAAACGGCATTTCAAAGCTACTTTGGATGCTACCAAAGGATTGTGTCTCCGTTTTCCTTCATCTGTTCTTTTGGGCTATGTTTGCTGCTGTAATTGGTGACACCATGATTCTTCACCATACTGTACAGAGAATCTCCACAATTGGGTTTAAAAGCAAGATTGTAGCCTTAATGTTTCAACTTGAAGAAATGAATCATTCCCATTGAACTGCATGTATGGTTTTTCCAGTGGAATGAAATATGCCTACCGCAAAACTTTTAAAAGACACATGAGACCTGCAGAGGAGAGATGGAGTGTGGTGGAGGAATAGAGGGCAGCTCTGAAACTTTAGCTATCAACTTCTAGCGTTGAAGATAGTTTGATGCTCCGCGTCACTAAATGCCACCGACGGGGCGGGCAGGGGAGCGCGCGTTCCTCTTTGCGGCAAGGCTGCTGACTCGAGCTTTTAAGGGGTAAAAGTCCACTAGATCCAGCTTTCCCTCCTTGCTGCCAGCTGAAAGTTGACTTTTTGCCCATGTCGCAACTGTTTTAAAGGCAGAAGGGGACCGCAATGCCCCTGCCGGTTTTTCTAAGTTTCCTGCTGCGTTGGATCTCGGGCAAGCCTTAGCACTCGAGCTCTCCAAAAAGGAGCCGGGCCTCTTCTCCCTCTTCCCCCCGTCATCTTCCGGGAGCAGCTCGGGTCATGGGAGCCGTCCAGCGGCGCCCCCCCCCCGCCCGCCCTCCCGATGCTCACCCCCAGATCCTCCCGCAGGGAGCGGTATTGCTCCACCGCCAAGAAGCCCCTTCGCTGCTCCAGTTCCACGCGAGGCTCTCCGGGGAAGGCGGCGGAGAAGCCCCGCAGCAGCGCGCCTTCGAAGTCCGCCAGGACCCCGTCCATGTCCACCAGGACGCGCAGCGGGCGGGACGCGGAGCCGCCGTCCATTCTTCCCCGGGGGCGCACGTGGGCCGCTGCAGAGCCCGGCTACGCCAGAGGAGGCGCTGGGGAGTCAGAGAGGCGGAGCCTGGGGGGAACTTCGGCCCCCGGCGACCCACGAGAGAGGAGTAATGGATACTCAAAGGGCGAGATCTAACCCGCTCAGGGGCGCATGAGCAGAGGGCGCACGTGGGAAGCGCGGCGCTTTGTGGGAAGAAGTGGGGGAGAGATTTCTCCCCATTCTCCGGATTGGAAGGGCGAGGAGGAGGTGGCTTTTCCCCTTCGTGCTCAAAACAGGAGTCCCCATTTTGCATCAACTTTTTGCTGTTATTTGATCAGCGTCTTGTGTTTCTCAATCTGTGGGTCTCCAAATGTTGTTGGACTACAACTCCCATCTTCCCTGATCACTGGTCATGCTGGCTAAGAATGATGGGAGTTGTAGTCCAGCAACATCTGGGGACCCACAGGTCTAAACGAAGAGATCTGCACTTGAAGCAATGTTTTCAGCTACCCAAGGTCGCTCTAAAGTCAGAATTGTAAGGAAACGCCCCCCCCCCAGTCATCTGGTCCAACCCCCTGCACTGCAGGAATCTTTGGCCCAACGTGTGGCTCAAACCCACGACGCTGAAATTAAGAGTCTCGTGCTCTACCAACTGAGCTCCCTGGACACATTTGTTCAAGCAAGGGTTGCGAGTTACAGGCATGGCTTTGAGTTTTCTTTATATGGTAACTGAGCCTGGTCAATAGCAAATATACAATGAGGGGTGGATGTATTGGGCGGGGGAAGGGGGAGAGGGAAGAAAGAGTGAGAGATGAGCTTTTATCAAGAATTAGGGAAGCTACAAGAAGAATTGGGACACGGGTGGCGCTGTGGGTTAAACCCCAGAGCCTAGGACTTGCCGATCAGAAGGTCGGCGGTTCGAATCCCCGCAATGGGGTGAGCTCCCGTTGCTCGGTCCCTGCTCCTGCCAACCTAGCAGTTTGAAAGCACATCAAAGTGCAAGCAGATAAATAGGTACCACTCTGGCAAGAAGGTAAACAGCGTTTCTGTGCGCTGCTCTGGTTTGCCAGAAGCGGCTTAGTCATGCTGGCCACATGACCCGCAAGCTGTACACCGGCTCCCTCGGCCAATAAAGCGAGTTGAGCGCCACAACCCCAGAGTCAGCCACGACTGGACCTAATGGTCCTTTACCTTTACAAGAATTGCTCAGTATGTTGCTCAGTTCACTCTGTTCTATTGCAAAAAAGCAATCAAACACTTGAATTCTACACCACCACTGTGGCATTATAATGGTGTCAGTTACTACCAGATAGATAGAGAACATACCCAAATGATTCCTAAGCTATGTTGAAGTGAGAGCTCAATCCAGGATAGCTTCTAACATTTTGACCACATTGCAGGATTTCATTATTACACAAAATTGCAATGTGTGGTAAAGTTCATCCCACTGAAATCAGAATTGGGACATCCAGCAGAGCATGGTGGAAACCCCTCATTATGATGGAGATAAGCAGACACTGATAAAGTGTTTCTCTCTGCAACGCTAAGAATGTAGATTAGATTTTATGGCACACCATATTGCACAACAATGATGTGTAAGAAACTATTTGCTTCCCTTCAATTAGTGCAAAGACTTTCTTTCATCTGTATCAGGTTGCAATAGTTCCCAAGCTCTTAATGGACAGCCAGCAAACAATGGGCTAATACCAAGATCAGTATCTGGGAGCTAGAGCACACAAGAAGAGCTATGCAGACAGGGCACTGTTTCCCCCTGATTCTGGTGCTTCTTGGCCTGGTGCTTCCAGACTGTAGTGTAGAGGACTTCTGTAACTCATTGTTTAATGCCTCTACATGAAACTACTGGGACCAATGATCTGACTCTATAGAACAGAGCACCCTATGAAGACCTTTTATTTTAATTTAGGTTGTAGGCAGCCTTGAGCATTTCTTGCAGCAAGTAGCATCCTGGCCCATTCAAAGTGTATCAGGTTTGAGGTAGTAAGGTTTTGTTTTTGTTTATTTGCACAATATGCATCAACATAGTTTTGCTAAATAAACACTAGGCAGGTTAAAAAAAACCATTCAAATAGACATGCTTTTTTAAAAAATAGGTCAAGTACTGGAGCTGAAAACAGGGATATAGACCTGTTTGTTCCAGATCTTAGCTGTTTTAGACTTAGAACCTCTTTTCCATTTAAAAACCAACCAGTAGGGAAAATGGATGCAACCGATCATGAGTTCTTTATTACAGGATTCCTAGAGTACCCAGGAACAGGCAAGTCAACAATATTGGATCTATGGCATATTATCCTGTTACGGACCAGTTGACAAATTTTCAAAATATTCTCTGTATTCAAGATAGGAAGTGCTGTTCAATGTAAGATGTAAAACTTCTTTGTTATGCCCAACTGCTACTCAATCTCTGAAATGTGTTCCATTTTCATGTTTTAAATATTATGGTCAAACTGTTCCATCTGTAATTACCAGCCATTTATGTACAGCAGCCTTTGAATAAGAGATCTTGTTTAGCATCCCTTAACGTGTGTAAAAAGCCAAATGAAAGTGATTTAGTTTCACAACTATCAACGCTGTATTCCCATCTCTTAAAGCAGAAAAACCTCCGTAGTTACCGCAAAGCATGATGGCTACATGACACTTGATTACACTTCTAGTATAATGGCACTAATTAGCAGCAACCTAGCGTGTTAACATTGCTACAGCAATGGCTGTTTGTTTGGGAAGTGTATATGGAAATGTTCTATGAAACCACCCAATTTCTCTTCCACGTTTTTGTGGATTTCAACTTGATATTCAAGTGATGAGTAGGCAGCATAGCAGACCCTGAAAACAAAGCTCTCACACTGCTTCAAAATTTCTATATATTTTATTTAAGCAACAATCCAGCTTTATCAAGATACAACACACATTTAGAAGGATGAAACTCTCACCTCATGGTCAAGCACCAACATGATCATGCATAGCACAGGAATTGTTTGAACTAGACTGCCTCTTAAAAGAGATTGTTCCTGTCTCCAATACTTACTTCTGCAAGATCCACTCCACCTTGACTTCAGGTGGGTCCCGATACTGGGGCAACAGAACAGCATCTCAAATTACTAGCCCTGTCATTTGGCACTGGTCCCAACTTGATATGCCTGAACCAAGATTCTTCTTGTTTGAAGGCAGCATGGTAATCGCTAGCACCATGACTCTTACTGTTCAGAAATGCACAACAGGGCTTTAGGCATTTACCAGTTACTGAATGATACCTTGGCTAACCAACTAGTATGTGTTGCAGGGATAGGTAGGAAAGAGAGAGTACATTTGTCAACCGTCTTCTGATCTGTGCAACCCTGGACTTTCAACCCTTCTTCTAAGCTAACTAAGGGGTTTCTACAAATTTCAGGACAAAATGCCATCTAACACACTCAGAACCAACCAGCCTAGGTTATGATACACTACTATATATATATATACCTTAGAAATCTTTCCATCAGCCATGGGCTGCATAGGAATGCCACTGCTCTACGTCTACCACTAGGAAAAGAAATCACACATTCCACTTCCAGTAGACCCAAGGGAGACAAGACAGAAGTTGAAAAAACCTTCCTTTAAAAAAGATGAAGTACATAAAGTGCTTCTTTAATGACAGTTTGAGAAGAAGTACAGTCAGGCTCAAGTTGTGCAGCTCACAAGCATGGAAGGAAAACAAAGATGACAGACATGAGTTCCAAGTAGTTAGGAGGAGGAGCAAAGGAGGAATAAGTTTAACCAAGGACTAGGCTGGACTTTCCGCCAGGTGGATTTCTCCTAGATGGTGCGGGTGCTGCAGCTACGGGGCTAGGAACTGGTGCAGCCGGCACAGGCTTCTCTTCACTCGGGCCAGAGGCAGCTTCTATTTCAACCTCTGTGTTTTCTAGAAAAGGGGGAATAGGGAAAAAAGAGGAATGCTTCAATCTCCAATGTATCAAAGTTATTGCTGGACAAACACTGGCTCTGTGGCAAATCTTAAAACAACGGAAGTAGAAAAGACTGCTGCCCAACAGCTCTATCTAGCAGATACACTGCTCTGGGCTTGCATCTTTTGTGGGCTTCACTTGTACAGGACTGTCTCTGGGAAAGGTCCAGGGTTGCCTCTGGATGCTGCTGAACTACAACTCCCATCATCCCTGATCACTGACCATGCTGGCTGGGGCTGATGGAAGTAAGCAGAATTCTAGCAACATCTGGAGGGCCACAGGATCCCCATTCCTCAGCTGCATGTATAGCAAAGCACAAATTATTTGGAGTCGGACCCAAGCAAATTCCTTTTCTGTTTAAGTATTTCCAAGTATCGAGAGTAAATTAGATTTACTGAGGGGTCAACACCAGTCAGCCCCAATGTCCTATAGTAGCATTATGAATTTGTATTATTGTCCCCATTGTTATATTTTGGCATTATCGTTTTTCTTGTGTTTTCTTTTGTCTCCAACAATATAAAAACCCAATTTTTAAAAGTAGGAAAAACAGAAGTTAACGCCAGCGAACTTAGCAAGGAAAGAGCATCAGTCAATCCATGTTATGCATATGCACTTTAGGGGAATATTCATTGTACAAGGAGCCTTATTATCACATCTAACCATTTGCTTAATTGAAGCACCTGCTTATGGTAAGCAGATCCAACAAAAGCAGAACACACTATATGCAGAAGAGTAAGGATTAATGTTGTGTTGTGAAATTGAATGCAGGCAGCATGTCGAACAGGATTTAATGTGCCATTTGGCCACAGAACTAAGTACATCATACATCCTAGCCAGATAGTTTAGAAACTCCTTGGTATGCAGCTTTTCCAAAGATGTTTCAACCAAAGCTTTCATACAATCTGCCAAGCCTGGTTATTACAATCTAGACACCACACTAATGACTGGCTGCACGGATAGAATACCTGCATATGCATGTAATTAAAACCATTAATGTTTAGTCTTTACTCAGGAACTCCTACCTGCCAACATACAAATAATTCGCTGTCCTAATACCATCACATTTCCAGGAAGAAAAATCAGATAAATTAGATTTTTCAAAATTAATGCAGAATAGGTTTCCGAACCATAGCTGCTTGCTATCTTCAAGCGCTTTCTATAATCTTTCTGCCGTAAATTCATTCAGCCACCTTTGCTGTTCATTTCCACAATGGCTATTAGTCTCAGACATTAAGCTACACAAGGCCCAGATCTGCTAGTTATCAGTGGCCTTACACCTGCCCTTCCTGTGGCATGTTACAATCCCATTCTTGGACTATAAAGTGTAGGTTTTAAATGGGAGTGCCAAATTGGGGTTTATCTCACTTTCAGGTTGCCAGGTTGTCTCTCTGACCTTGATTCTGAAACCTACTTCAACTGGCAGACTTCTGGATGATTAAACACAGGTTGAAAAAACCCCTCTATCCAGCTCTTATAAGAAACATTTTCACTGAACACTGATTGAGGTTAACTATGTTTGGTGTGCACTAGACAGCTAAGGCTATCTGCTGAAATTCTGAAGATCAGTCATCTTAGAAAGCTGTCCCATGCATATAAAAAGTCAGCTAAGAGAAGGCAAAGGTCTACAAGAATCCTGCAGAGAGATCAAGTGAGTAATGACAACTGGCTACCAGACAAGAGGTGTGCTATTTCACAGCTGATAGAAGCTACTCATGTGCACAATACATTAAGCATCATGAGTACCTGTTCTGCTTGACAGAAAAATGGACTAATTCCATTCTATTCACTCCATTTCCCCAACAAAATGAGTGTGGTAATTCTGGATTGCTTTAGTATAGCTAGGAGCCTTCACATGGTGGCCAGGGCATTTTTTTGTGCCATTAGCAGACTAACCACCACCAACAGGAACTCTACAGAATTAGGAGAAGGATCCCAATTCGTTAAGGCAGGTTTTCAAGTTGGAAGCCTCTTGCCTAAGTTGTTGGACAACTTGTAAGTTACCCAAACCCACTAGTCACATCACACACTCACAGGCAGCCTTCTCAAAGTACAGTTTATGTTGTAGGTCTCATAGAGTTATGGCTCTACAAATGACAGCTCTGGAAGCTTAGCTCAGAAAACACACACTATTCGCCACACAACGTTGGGAGTAAAAGGAACACTCAACCTTAAAGGTGCTATGGAAGCCTCTCTCTAGCTTCACTCTTAATAGTTCCTCATGTTTGAAAACAAAAAACCCCACCCCTCCCATTTCCATTCTGCTCCTTTCTGTGTAATTTGGCAGCAATTTCCTCTTAAACTTAGTTTCAGCATGTCTGCCACCATACACAACACATACATGAACTGGACATATTTATGCCATTCTATATTCACAAATCCCTACAGAACTCCAATGAATCATGCCTGCTGAGGTATACATGCACATTCTATTCACTTATTGTATGTGGTGGCAGGTGCACCCCAGGTACACCTGAGAATTAAAATGTTTTGCATTTATTCAAGTGTGAACTGCAACCAGGTAAAATCTTATGCAAGACCAAGAGGCCACAGAGCTGACAGATAGGTCTTCATTATGAAGACACCTCTCCTCAAAAGTCATATTGATCCACATTTATCCTTTCAGACTCCAACACACATCAGTGTACACATCCACCCAAGCCGGAAATGAATTTTCTTTTCACTTATTTACAGGCAATGAGGAGAAAGTACTTACCGGGAGCCTCACCTTCCTCGCCCTGCAATAATAATAAAAAAGGCCAATGTTAATTCTACCTTTGCTGACATCAACCAACAAAGATCACTTCTTTAGCTGAGCCAATATAAAGTAAGCTATTTGTCAATAGCAGAAACCTGATTTCTGAAACAATGAATGTAGTTTGAGTTTTATGGGAAAAACTCAATCCTGGTGGACATACATTTTCCAGTTTGTAAGACAGGTACCGTAAATACTTGAATATAAGCCGAGGACCTAATTTTACCACAAAAAACTGGGAAAACTTATTGACTCAAGTATAAGCCAGTTCAACAGTGGCAAAGGCGGAGGAGGAGGAAGGAGCAGCCCAAAAGGACCCTCACTCAAGTATAAGCCGAGGAGGGCTTTTTCAGCATAAAAAATGTGCTGAAAAAGTCAGCTTATACTTGAGTATATACGGTAATTTCCAAACTGTGAATTGAGGCATACTAACATACCTAGAGGAAACTGATGATGTCCAGAAGAAACCAAGTGTCTGTGAGACTTGAATACCCATTTAAGAGAAGAAACTGACCATTGCATGGCTATGTTTTACTGATTTTCCCTGCTGCCTACTTCCAGTCAGCCTCTACAAAGGGCTGGTAATTCTGCTGCATCAAGAATGACTGGCTCTTTCATCCAGCCATTTCCCATGTAGAATAACCTACCAGTGAAGGTACTCCCATAACAGGCCACCAAACATCCCCAAGGGGGTGGTTTCCTGAAGGTCACTTCCTGACTTCAGCAACATGTGCAATAAAGGAAACTTACAGGCCCATAACAAAACATACCAGCCTACCTCTAGTTGAGAATCAGGATGAAAATATGCTAGGAGCAGTACATCCCTAGGCTAACCTAGGCTAACCTAGCAGTACATCCCATCATAGGCTAACCTATGATTACTACTTACCTAGCAATCTGATAAATAATCCCAAATTTGAGGGTAGTTAAGATGTGTTAACTTATCTTCAAAAAAGCACTAGCATACATAGGATCCACCTTGTCTAAAATTAGAGGAAACTCTAGACTCATACATGTTGACTGAAGTCACAACTATGAGTTCACATGTTAACTAGTGTACAAGGTGCCCATCAACAGGAAGCAAACACTCCTAGTACTCACACCAGGTATTTTATGCTTGTGGCTGATCACTATGAGAACAGGATGCTGCTGGTGTATATGGGCCACTGGCCTGATCCAAAGTGCTATGGGTTTGTTTTAGTTTTATGTTAATCTGCTATACTATTAATGTCTTTGGAGTTCTGCTTCAAATGGCAAGCAGAGGCAGTGTTTTCAGAGCAGCACTGTGCTTGAAATCTAATTATCAAGAACTAGGGATATCTTCATGTATACCTTCCTTTGAGGAGGAAGGTAACAGAATAAGAGCAAAGCCAGCCCTCTGAAGGTTGAGCAGCTCTGCCACCATTTTAATATTCTCAATTTACAGAAAGAGCAGCTCTTACCTTTGGATCCACGAAGTCACCAGAGATTGCATCAGAAGAATTTCTTCTTTGTGACCCAGGAGCTTCGGAATTTTCACTGACATCGCTGGGCTTGGCTGCTGTGAATAAATTGTCACTGTAACATGTACTTAAAGCAGATACCCCAAATAATAAAATCATGTACAATAGTTCTAAGCAACAACCAGAGACAATGAACTGGCCCAAAAATTCTTTGTTACCTGCTTAACACATACCTCATCTAGCACAGTCCCAACACCTCCCTATTCAAAATGTTTCTGAATCTTGAACATCTGCTATGAGTTTAAGCTTAGTACAAGTACTTTTGCACATTCAACCAGTTGACCTAACAATGACCCTCTTGACCTGTTCTGTATCGAAATTTCATGCAGTTTTCTTCATTTATAGAGACACCCTCATAGGCACATTAGAAACAGATTGAATGCTAGTATTTACTCTGCCACTACAGCACCATTAATGTTTTCCCAATGCCTGCCGAGTACATGCAGCTAGTTCTGTAAGTGAAATAGCCACTGGTGTACTAGTACACCACGGCTTAGAACAGGGTCACAGGAGTTAGCATGTAAACAGGCTAGGACTTGCCCCAGTGCCAAGAGATTGTGAACAGGATAAACTGAAGCCAAAAATTGCTCAACGCTACTTCCACATGCTGCAGCTCCTCCTAACCGAGGAAGTAGTTCATGCTTCCACCCATCAGCGACTATTCAAGTACAGACAAGCCTACACTGCAAGTTATCCTCTCTCCAGTTATTTTTAAAATTGTTTTACAAAGACTATTTTACAGCTCCAAAACAAGGCCAGGAAGCACAGTCAGAAAACCCGAATCCAGATATTCAACCATGGGCACCCCTTTAAAGAATGAGAAGTAGTTGTTTCACCTGTTGAGCTAGCCCAGGAGGATGAATTATCTTCTGGAGTCCCAAAGATATTGGATGCCATCTTGTGTCTTCTTGTGTTTTGGTGTTCTTTTGGCAGATCAAATCCCATGTTGAACGTGGAACCACCACCTGGTGGACGAAGAACTCTAGAAATAGAGACCCGAGAGTTATGTTTACAGCATTGTCATCTACAGTGTAGCCTACCAGTGCAAAAAGAGGGCATTAAAGTAGCAGGTTAGCCCAACTATTTTCAGAGTAAACTGAAAGCTGTTGCTGAAACTTTCCAAAAGTGGGGCACTTAGTATCTATGAGAAAGAAGCAAAGAAGGACAAGGTCAGACTGGAGGATAGTTCAGGAATCTGAAATTTAAGATCAGTAATTTCTAGTCCCCATGCTGTCCTGATAACATGCCTTAGCTATAGTCTGGATCAACAAGCAACTCACTGTGCCATACTTCATACCTGACTTCAGCAGCATTAAACACTGCTAGCCTTGCAGTGTGCATTAGAGGGTGGAGTGTGCATTAGAGAGCATATCACTGTAGGTCCTTTGAACTAGATGTTAGATATAATATAGTGTACTTCAGGTGTTAAGGTTTGCACATCTTGTCACTGAATACTCTTACGGCACAGCTAACATCTCTAGGTCATGCTGCAAACAATTCACATGCCTGCCTATTACCCCGCAGAATAGGAATTCTACTAGGGTATCTTTTTTGGCTGTGTCATCCACCTGGATGTTGGAAAGCCAACACACCACCTGGCAAAGCATCATCAACACTGCCAGGGTCTGTGTCCCTTGTATGTTGGAGTTACCTAGTACACACCAATCACACACCCTTGACTAGTTACATCAGGAAAACGAAATCATAGACCTGTAAGTTAGAAGGGACTCCAGCGTCGTCCAACCCCCTGCAATGCAGGAATCTCAATGACAGATGGCCATCCAACCTCTGTTCAAAAGTCTCCAAGGAAGGAGAGTCCACAACCTCCCATGGGAGTCTGTTCCACTCTCAAACAGCTCTTACTGTCAGAAAGTTCTTCCTGATGTTTAGTCGGAATCTCTTTTCTTGTAACTTGAATCCACTGTTTTGGGTCTAGACTCCAGAGCAGGAGTAAACAAGCTTGCTCCATCCTCCATATGACTGCGCAATTTCGTGGGAGTTTATCATACAAACTTTCCATAGAAGCCTATTTTAGATGCTTCTATAGACTAGAACAAGAAAGTTGTACCTCCCAACAATTACCAGTCAATTTCATTAAGGCAACTTTTTGAATTAAATAACAAGTGACTGTGACAACGTCAGGTTTTTTGACCCATACATGAGCTGTGCTATTATAAATCCAATCCAAGGCAATTTGGAAGTCGTCCACACATTATATCATATGAGTTGTTCCTAAATGAAATGAGTGATAAACCAAACTTTAAAAGTAAGACTTATCTTCCTTAACAACCAACAGGTGGGTGGAACCTGACTCTGAGTGCAAAAAGAGCACTCAACACAAGCACTGGAAGGAATCCTACATATATTATTATTTAAATAAGTACGGTAGTTTCTGCAAGGGAATCCATGTATCATCACCATTTTTATTGCAATATGTATTTCATATCTTCACACACAGGAAGCTGTCATAAGCTTACCTAAAGCTCTTATGTTCCCCAATGGGAGATACTCCACAAAGGGAGAGTACATATGGAACTCATTTTTATGTAGGAATGTTTCATGCTAAAGTGGAAAGGGCTCAGCAGTCAAACAGACAAAGCTAAAGAAGGAATGGAAGGGCTGCTTCGGTGGACTGGTGCCTTTACCATCAGCTAGCTTCAGAGTGCACCTACAGATCCTTTATGCCACCCTTCCCTTAGAGGCAAGAGCCTGGAACTTGGAATAGAGCCAGTGTGGTGTAGTGGTTAGAGTGCTGGACGAGGACATGGGAGACCTGGGTTCAAATCCCCACTCAGCCTGAAGCTCACTGGGTGACCTTGGGCCAGTCTTTGCCTTTCAGGCTAACCTACCTCACAGGGTTGTTGAGGGGATTAAATGAGGAGGGGAATAATATACACCACCCAAAAAAATAGTAATATATTATTTGTACCCCGCCCATCTGGCTGGGTTTCCCAGCTCCTTGGAGAAAAGGTGAGATACAAATGAAACAAACAAACTGCTGGTAACTAGAAAAAGCTACCACAAACACCTCCCCTATTCCAAATTACATCATTCAGTAGATTTAATTGTAGGCCATTTTGATAGTACTAACCACCACCAACCAGACACAGGGGAGGAAAAAACTTTCAGGCATTAACAAACTTACGTTTATCAAATGTGACTTCTGCCTTTTACAATAGTTACTGTCTTACAAAGAAACCAGTGTGTTTGTGAATATGTGCTCAGTCATTTATGGCACAAAAGAAGGGTGTGTGCAGAGAAAGAAGTGTAATAAACCTTTCCAGTCTTGTTGCCTGGAGGCTATTCTTATTCACCAGAGGTGTCTGTACAAGTGCTTTTTTTAAAAAAAAAATACTGCTTCAGTTGGTTTCTACTGCAGATGTGTGCAACCTGTTCCGCTAGAGCTGTACTTGGACTCCAAAACCATCATCCCCAGCCAGGAAGGTAAATAATGGCAGCTGTAGTTTGCAACATCTGGAGGACACAAGTTCTCCACTCCTGGTGTGGAGTGTGTGTGCAATGAAATTAATAAGCTGGAAATAAATGATATACAAATATGGCGCACTACAGCTAATGGGGCCTCCTGCTGCCACCCCGCCACTGCCGCCCAATTTCTGTTCTCATCCTGAAGCAAAGTTCTTAACCCAAGGTATTATTTCTGGGTTAGCTGGGTCTGTAACCTGAACCGTCTGTAACTCGAGGTACTACTGTACTGCAGAAAGGTGCCACTGGCTAAATTGCTCTACTACCAGAGTTCAAGTACAATTTGTGCAAATCCCCAAAATGGGGTGTAGTCATGGGCAAGGTATGGACTCAACACACACCAGATCCAACACCCAACTCCAAGGATATGCCAAAAGCCTACTCTGGGGATGAGGATCCTCAGATCTGGAGCCTACAGTGGCCCTCCAAGCCCTTTTATCTGGCCCTTGGGCATCTTCCAAAAGTACAAGGCCTTGTACTGTGATAATGCCTCTTGCCTGCCACATCTGTTGTTGGCTCCATCTGCCAATGGCATAAGGTCCTGGGAGGTAGCCTAGATGGAAATGCAACCTTTGGAATGAAAAAGATCCCCCACCCATGGTCTATGCCATGACAGAACCTGGTGCAGTTAATTCTTCTCCCACTGACTCCCATGGGAGCTAACAAGGCAGAAAACAATTACTTCTCCTGCCAAGCTTTTTATACATAAACTAGGGGCACTCTGAGTGCCACATTAGAGTTTGGGGCCTTTGGATTCCCAACCACATGACTACTTTGCCTCTCTCTCAATTTTGCAATGCAACTGATAATAATTCACCCCCCAACTTAGTTCCTTTGTTCACCAAAAAGGCATTTTTGCAAAAATCAGTTCTGAAGAACCAGAGTTATTCCTCCACTTCCAATGCCCCCACTTTGTAATCCCAAAAGCAAGCCATGCAGCACTGCAGAGTACTGACCAATACAAAAGATATTCAAAGTTGCAGCACCAGAACATGCTTAAGATCTAATCCATTTAAAGCAACAGTGTGCAATAAGCTCCATACACCTTCATGCCTTTCAAGATCAAGTCTTCCTCTACAGGCAGAAGTTGGACCAAAGATAGAGACAGCCTTTCAGAGGATTACAGAAGTTGCTGACTTGCTCCCTGCTTCTAAGCCTCGAGTTAACAGGTAGAGATGGTCATAGATGCTAGACAATAGAAGTGTGCTCAAGCCCCACCCAGCGCGAGGAATCACTTACAGAAACCACGCCAGATTAAGATATTCGCTGCCGAGATCTACAAGCCAGACAAAAAGGAAGCCAAGAAACGGTGCCAGGGGTGACGCAAAAGGGTTTTGGGAGCACCTAATCCTGTTGATCGGGGAGGGGTAGCAGCCTCCTTTGTTAGGCTGGGAAGCAGAAGCACACGGATCAATCTGCTGAGCGAGTCTGACACAGCCAAGCCTCAAGAGCGCGCCCCCGCCCCGCAGCTGTTTCTTTGGGGAGAAGAAGGGAAAGAGCTGTGGCAAGCGAAAGGCTCCGCGGCCCCCGAGCAGATTCCGGGCTGGGTGCGGCTCCCACCCTCGCAAGCCAAAGAATCTTATCCGTCGTGGCGGAAAGCAGACAGTACTGTATTAAACTAAACTAAAGACTCGTGGCTAATCCTCTTTTTTTGGGGGGAGGGGGGTGTAAGAGGCCTATTCTCAACATGCACAAAAACATTCCCCTCCCCCATAAAACTATCCTCTTATAAAAGCTCCAGCTCCCCCCCCCAAGCAATATGGTGCGTCATTTCTCCGTTTCCCAACAATCTGCAGTTCCAAAGCCGAGAAGCAGGGGCTTCTTCCCGACGATGGCAGCGTACAAAGGGGAAGGCAAGTACGACACAGGTCCGGAAAAGCGAGCGAGGCCTCGGAGGAGAGAAAAGGCGGGCGGGCGGCCGGCTCCCCACTTCCAGCAGCGGAGAGCTGGACGGCACCACGCCTGTCTTCTGGGCATCCTGGCAGACATAAAAGGGAAGGCGGCTCCTGCCTGCCCACCCGCCCCAGAGACGCATCCAGGCGGTGTGTGGGTGTGGACCGCCGGGAGGAAAGTCCCGGAGCCGCGGCATGACAAAAGGCCACCCGCGGTCTCTGTGCGCCTGAAGGAAAGCGCCCACACCCGTGTAGTGGCCTCGTGCAGACGACCCCTTCGCCACCCAGGAAAAGCCTCGGGCGGCCGCGAACCGGGATCCCCGTTTGCCAAGCGGAACTGGCTCCCAGGACCCTCCCAGGTCCACCGGAGGACCCCCCTCCCCAACACCCTGTTTTCTAACCCGCGATGGTGGGGGGCTTCACGTGTCCGGCAGCAACCACGTGTGAACGGAAGAGCCGCCACCGCCGCCAACCCAAGAGACATGGGCTCTGGCCCGCTCCCCACACGGTCCAGGGAAAGGAAGGGGGGAAGCGAAGGATAGGAAGCGGCGACGTATATATAGATATGAAACCAAGGAAACGGTCCCCGGGAAACGGTCTAAACCGACCTGGAACTGCTTCGCCCGCTGGGGTCCATCCCCTTGTAGGTGGTCGTGGTGGTCATGGCGGGGAAGAAGCCGGGTGAGGAGCCGCCCGAGGAAGAGGTAAGCGGAAGGTCTTATTCCCGCAAACCGACACTGTACTACTGCCGGCGTCAACTGCAGTAGCCGCTTGGCGCTGGCAGCTCCTTTTATACCCGTCATGGCTCGTGCCGTCGTATTGGACAGTTCAAAACCGTTCTCCCGGCCTCACTCGCCGGCCTCGTGCCACTCCAGAGATCGTCCCGCCTCCGGATGCCGGAGACTGGTCCATCCACAAGCACGCCCCGCTGGACTGGACGAGAGGTACTTTTGCTCAGCGCTTATTGGTTGTTCCAGAGCGCTCTCCCCCTTTGTTTCCGATTTAACGGTGTGGCTGCCACTCAAATCAATTGGGTGCTGATTGGCTGGGCTACACATGAGGCAATAACAACTTCCTTAGCCTTTCTTTACGAGAGAGCAGTTTAAGGGGATCCCTTCATAGGGAGTGGCATAGTAGGGATGCGTGAAGTGGTGTTTGGTCGCGCCCCGGAACCTGAAATAAACCCGGCACGTCCAGGGTTTGGCCCCCATAATGTATGAAAAGAAAGTGCCGCTCTGCCCTTTCAAACTACTGTGTACACAAAACCGCGCAACACAACAAAACACTGGCAACTCACTACTTCAGTACAATGCCCCGTAGTTTTGCTGCTTCCAGGATATGATTGAACTGTGTGATGCTAACATTCCTACCGCATGAGCGGCCAAAACATAAAAATACTTGAATATAGAAGTATGCAGTACAATGGTATCACATTGTTGCTTTGCGATGTATAATCACGATGTGTAAGAAGGTAGAAAGGAAAAAGCTGACATCTCTCTTGATGCAGGCAGCATGACTGGGCATGAAATAGGCAGGTTTCCGCATGAAGAAAAATTGGGGATTTTTCGGGGCAGGGGGGAGATAAAGCATAGTTGCTTGACTTTTCACTAAAATGTAGGTTCCGGCAGCTGCTTTGCAAAGCACTTGGTATTTAAACATGCCAGTATTTTTTTAATGCTTTGATGTTTTAGATGAGGACTCCTCTCCAAACGCACCTTCAGTTTTGCTCTAGGAAAAATAGGGTGGCAATTTACCATGCGATCATAGCGGCCAGCAGACTTTTTATTCTACAAAGCTATGAAAGTATGCATGTACATACATGTTTGAGAGCATGAAGCAACAGTCAAGTAAAAAAAAAAAGGCAAAAGGGCACTATAGTTCTATGTCAAGGTTTTGTTATTCTCTGATATGACATAATCCTACTCAGTACAAAGGAAGTGCATCATTTACTTTTCGGGGAATGGGAACACTTTACAACGTGCTGGTCTCAAGTGTAGTAGTACTGACACAATGCTAGCAAAAGGTAATCAGTGTGAAATCACTTTAAGCAGGGCTATCAAGTAATACTAGCTTCTCACATTTATAGAGTACTGTCTCCTCAGTCCCGCTGTTGAAACAAGCATTTCTAATCATTTCTCCATATTGAGACATAGATCAGGGGGGAAAACCTATTTCCCTATTTAAAGTCATTCAGTTAAGCGGGGGGGGGGGGGAGAAACACTGTAACGAGATGAGATCATGGCTGTCTCAGTAAAGGTAAATTAAGGGGGATGGAACTGAAACCACCCAGTCAAAACACTTAACTCTCCACACTCCCTGAAAGCTTGTTATTTCATGGAAGTTGTCTTCAGGTAATTACCCTCTTTGGCATCCTTTACTCCTGTGTCCTCATCTGTGAATGACTGCAGTCTCTTACTCTTGGGAGGGTGAAAAGAGCAACACATAAAGTATCTGCACTATCCCATCCTTTCATACCAGAATTTGCCGTTGGTCCTACTTGGCACCAGGCACCCATTTTGTATAGAGGCACACACCAATTAAGTAGGCAGCTGCTTTCATAAATTACTGAATTTCTGGGGGCTCTCAGAAGTTTTTTTATCTATACTACAGACTAAGACAAGTTACTTCCCCTAATTATCTGTATAAACCATGATAGTATTTTTGTTAAGTGGGTGATGTAAACATGCATGAAGAAGCACTGGAATACCACATCCCTTTGAAAGCAACTCCATTTGGCTGAGAGGAAGCTATGCCCATGGGAATCAATCTAGAAAATGATAATTGTAGGTGTTTGATTCCAGATGATCAAGTAGGAAAAATAGATCATGAATCCAGCACTTTCCTCAAGTACGGTAAATGTCCCATTGCTGCTGACACAAATATATTTCTGTCTTTCTTAAACTCATCAGACCATGTATTTAAATCTTTGAAGCAGATGGGTTATTTTTTGAACATACCCCTCTTCACGTTTGCAGAACGGTAGATATGCATTTTATCAAATATTTATTAGCCAGCCCTGTAAATACAGGGCATGTACAGAAGCACTGGACAGAGTATATGCCATTTCAGAGCTACAATTGCCCCCTACCACCCTGTTTTTAGAAAATATGTCAAGGCACATCTTCCTAATTTGAACTTCTGTATCTTTTAGTAGTACTTGCAATGTTTTTATCATATTTTTATTTTTAATACACTGCCTTGGTAGTTTTCAGAAAGGCAGTACAAAAGTAAATAAGCATAACATTTCTAGAATACAGATGCTCTTGCTTAACTCCATTCCAACAAGACAGTAACAATTTCATTTGAGTAATAAATTTCTTGAGATTGCCTTGTTTTAAAATACTTATAAGTACATACTATCAGGTGAATCTATACAATTTCGGGTGGAGACAAAATCTTAAATTTAAAAATACGTTAAAAAATATACCCCAGTATTCTTAGGACATTCTTAAAATTTGGATTTCATCAGCATGCGTAGAACGCAAATTATGACAATGGATGCTGAAGCCTCTCCTGTCTCTCCTTCCATCTCCTCTCAAGAAGCCCCATACCATGGATTTTTAACAGCAGAAGCAGAACCAGTAATATTTACAGTAAAATTACAATCTTAAACCTGGCTGCTCTGAAGTAGATACCTCAACTCTATCACAACTTATGACCGTGGGCTGGCAGTTTTACACCAGCTCCTATGGCTCCTATGAAGGCTTACCTGAATCTCCACAAGGCAACAAAAGTAACTTAACTGCCCGGCTGCAGCAGGGTTCTGGAAAAAGTAGGAAGGCAACTGCATATATGGCAATTTGTGCACTGACAACTTCTCAGCACTAATTAGGCCTTCACACTAATGCTAGAACCCCAATGTTGTATTCACATAAAATATTACAAGACTGGAACAAACTACAATGTCTGTTTTCCCATTCCACAAGGTATACTGTTGTTTTTGATGAGAGCACTGTTTTAATCACGAAATGTGTAAAATAATCTCATAATATCCTAACCATATTTTACTCCCTAGCAGATGAAAAACATGTAAATACTGAGCCCTCTATTAATGTAATAGCTTTATCCTTTTTTATAACTTAACAGTTTATTGTAAGGAACAGTACTTTATATTTTACAGATTACTTTGTTACGAACTTAAGTAGGCAAAACTAATGTGTCATAGGAGATCCACTATCCAGTTATTTTTAATAACTGATCCCAAGCAACTACTCCAAAGATAGGGGAAATGAGGTTTCATCCCATTTCATCTTAGGCTATTTCCCCCAATCTAAATCAGCCTTCTCAAGCTATTCATTTATTTATATACCACCAACTCATATTTCAAGGCAGAGTACAATAATATATACAACAAAACATAAAACACTATAAAAACAATATAAAATGATTATGAAAATGACTAGCTAATCAATAAAGTTTTAACAGCTGCGCAGGTCCTAACGGCATAAAAAGATCTTTATGAAAGTAATAAGAGTGCCTGCTAAATCTCTCCTGAAATAGTATTTATTCCACAGGTCAGATGTGGAATGTCCATCTTCTAGCGGAGACCAGTCAGTCCTCTCTAACATGTGGGACAACTAACAGTGCTCTTCTGGATGATCTCACTGATTGATCACCAATCTCGGGTTCAGGCAGTCCTTAAGACATCCTGAACCCAAAGTTGTTCAGGCCTAGTCCAGGAGCATATGGGCAGAGCCAGGGCAGAGGTTTTAGCAGAAGTGCTGCATGCCATTGGCCATCTGACACCATCAGCAGCCTAGCCCCTGCATTCTGCACTAGCTGGAGCTTCTAGGCCAGGCCCAAGTGCAGCCCCACATATAGCCCACTGCAGGAATCCAGTCTCAAGGTTACCACTAGCCGAGCTAGTCCAATCCTGATGCGCCCAAAACGGTTGTTCCAGAGAAAGCAGGTAAAAGGCACTACTAGCTACACCTCCAAGCTTTATACCTGCTTCCAGAGGAGTGCAACCCCATCCAGAACCGGAAATTTGTCTATCTTCCAGACCCAGAAACCACCTCTCCATAAAGACTCCATCTTGCGTTTCTCCCCACAATGTTAATAGCAGGGTGATGGGTTGCAATGTGAGGGAAACTGTATGTGAAAAAAAGGTTAAACATTTCACCAGCACTTCAAAGTAGCTGTGTGAGGATGGATAATCACTAAAAAGCCATGAAGGAACCTAGCCACAGATCACCCACATTACATATAGTTTGACCTTAGTCTTTCAGAATAGCCTGTCAATTATACACAAATATAAAGGTGTGTGCCAGCTGGTTTCCTTTTGTATATACTTGGGATAGCTCAGTTGGTAGAGCATGAGACTCTTAATCTCAGAGTCATGGGTCTGACCCAACGTTGGACAGGTTTCCTGCAATGCAAGGGACTAGATGACCCTTGTGGTCCCTTTCCAACTCTATGATTCTATGAAACACAAGCAAAACATTTTTATCTGGCTATCTATTGTAGAAACCTTGGCATTTCTTCCCAAGGTTTCCAGTACAAGAGCTATTATTTTTTTAAAAAAGGATAAAAGTCTGTCTGTCTGTCTGCCTCTGACAATTTTGCTCTGCTCTAGACAGTAGGGGGCAGCATAATAACTGGGCAATCAATTTGATGAAACAACAGCAAGTAACTAGTGGATTCAGTGTCTGCCACATCAGCTGACTCATCCCAAGCTTAAATGTTATCACAACACAGAAAAATAAGCTTATTTTAAACAAGAAGTTTATTTAAACAACAAGACGCTTTACTTGAAGGGAAAACTATCCAAGA